GCTTTGGGGCCCCCCCCGCTGGTGGCGGGGCGGCAGCCCGGCCCGGCGACCTTGGGCTGCCCGCGGCGGGGTGGGCCCGGGGGTCCTGCCCTGCCGACCCCTCCGTCCCCAGGCCCCGCCGCGCGGCCCGGGGCTGGCCGGACTGCCGTGCTGGGGAGGCCTCATCCTGCACCCTTACCCTGGGCTGGGGGCCCCTCGCCAGGCCAGGGTGCGGTGATGGGTGAAGCGCTCCTTGGCATCCTCGTCTCTCCGGGGATGCTGTTCCCCTCCCAAAGAAACCGTCACACTGCACGACGCAGGGAAGGTCGTCAGTCCGGCACCGTCTGCCGTGGAGGAGCCCGACACGGGCACCGCATCCCCGCTGCGCTCTGTCCCCGAGGGTTCCCCCGCGGCATCGGCCCCGGCTGCCTGCGGGCACACCGGCCGCCACCGCCGCTCGCCCGCCTCCCTAGCACGGCGCAAAGCTCTCTGTGTGCTTGCGGAGAATTATCCAGAAGAGGAGCCGAGGGAGTTGAGCCACCTCTGCGTTTGTTAGAGAAATGCTAAGGAGGCATCTGTAACGCGTTTGCATGCGGAAGCGTTTTGTCTGTCATTTGATGGGTTTCCAACTTTCGTGCCTGTGTGTTAGTACAGAAATAATACTTGAGATGAGCGCTTGCCGTTTCGTCTTCAAAGCAGTAGGTTTTAGCATGGATGTGATCTTGTTGAACGGGTAGATGTAGCCATTCCTTGCCAGTTTGTGATGTTATTTCCTCCTGGACATACCCATTGCCTTGTACGTGACTGCCAAGGTATGTAAAGTGACTCATTTGCTCCCCTGTCTTTTAAAGAAATTGAGCGTTAGGATTTCCTAAGTTAACGTACAGGAGTTTCAGACATCTGCTAGTGGCCTGGAATGAATTGTGATACAGCACAGCCTCTCTTTGGAGGCAAAAGGGAAAGCTAGCTGTGAGACGGACATGAAATTAGTGTGCTGCAAATCGAAAATGTCTTTGCCCAGGTCTTGGGCATCCGGTCGTGGCCGTGGTTCATGGAGCAGTCAGCCGTAACGTCCTGGTGATGCAGAGGACTGCTCCATGTGTGCTGACAAGGTTGAACACGTGAGAGCTGGGGCTGGGTACGTGGGGGAGTCGGGGTCACCACCCTGCCTCTGTCCCAGCAAACCCTTGATCTAAACCTGTGTTTATTGTGGAGATGGTCGGTGAAACCCCCTCCCCCCCGGGCAGGCAGGGCGGCCCCATCACCGCAAAGCTGAGGCCCCTGTCCTGTCCTCTGCCGGCGTGGAGGGGGCAGGTTTTAAATGCCGAGACCCACAGGGGATGTGTCCGCCCTGCTCCCCGTGGGTGGAGGACGGGTGCCGAGGACTGGCTTACCAGGCACTGTCTAACTGTCAACCTCTGTAGTACAGGTCAGAAAAATCATTAAGACTGCTGATATAGATCTGTATTTTTTTTTTGATTGCTGGAGGAGACTTCTTCTGGGAACGTATCCAAACAGTGTGGCGTTTCTGCAGCCCTTTGGCAAGGG